GTAATAATGATAATACTACAAACATTATAATTATAATAATATATAATAATAATAATAATAATAATAACTAATAAAAACTAATAAGCAAATAATCAGTACAATCATAATTGTCTTCCTCATTATGATCGTCATTTTTGTAATACAGTAATCAATATTTCCACATTAACAAGAGAGAGAAGAGAGAGGGAGAGAGAGAGAGAGAGAGAGAGAGAGAGAGAGAGAGAGAGAGAGAGAGAGAGAGAGAGGAGAGAGAGAGAGAGAGAGAGAGAGAGAGAGAGGAGAGAAGAGAGAGAGAGAGAAAGTGAGAGAGAGAGAGAGAGAGAGAGAGGGAGAGAGAGAGAAGGAGGAGAGAGGGAGGGAGAGGGAGAGAGAGGAGAGAGAGAGGAAGAAGAGAGAGAAGAGAGAGGGAGAGAGAGAGAAGAGAGGAGAGAGAGAGAGAGAGAGAGAAGAGAGAGGAGAGAGAGAGAGAGAAGAGAGAGTGAGAAAGAGAGTGGAGAGAGAGAGAGAGGGGAGAGAAGAGGAGAGAGAGAGAGGAGAGAGAAGAGAGAAGAGAGAAAGAGAGAGAGGAGGAGGGAGAGGAGAGAGAGAGAGAGAGAGAAGAGAGAGAGAGGAGAGAGGGGAGAGGAGAGAGAGAGAGAAGGAGAGAGAAGAGAGAAGAGTGAGTGAGTGAGTGAGTCAAAGTCAATTTTATTCCGTGGATTAAATTACAATGGCTATTAATTACACAAATATATCTATATTTACAGTTCATTATCTAAGAGGTATTTTCAATTCGTTTTGAAATTACAGAAGCTGGTAATGTCCTTCATATCATTTGGCAGCACTGGTCCACTTAGTGCCCCTGTGTCGGTATTCGATCTCTTAACACAATGAAAATTTACCTGACGTGTTTGGTACCTGATGAGTTACCTACAGTTTGCAAGGATAATAACCTTTATGGATAATTCCCATGAATGAGTCTGAAAGTGAAAACACATATATGACTGCATTTAGAATGGACTTTTAACCATTTCTGAACATGCAGGGTGATGTGATCAAATTTACTAATATTTCGTAATGTAGCTCTTGAAGTAAAGTTTTGTATTTCTTTTTTTTACTTTTTTTTTTTTTTGATTTGGATTTTGTTAGCTGAATAACTATTTGACCAATAGTTAACTATGCAGAGAGCTAGACTTTGTACAACGATGATTCTAGATTCAGTAGTGCGCCCGTTACTTTCCTGTGTAATTTGTCAACGTGTGGTCCAAATGCCATAAAGCTGTCTAAGTATACTCCTAAATCTTTCACTAATGTGTTCGCTCTGATATTTCTTTTGAGCTTTCAAATTCTCTGATTGTGTCACTGGGAATTTTAGCCATGTTCTTCCAACTACCTATGAACATACATTGGGTTTTATGTGGATTAAGTTTAAGGCCATTAATGTCAATATATATTTTTGCTTGTGTATTTTGGGTGTTTCTTATTAATGTATCCAAGTTGTTTACAGAGTCACTATGAAGAAACCGTGAATCATCGGCGTACTGCACTAAAAGGCATTTATGGGCTATGATTCATAAACCATGAAAATTGTAAATAGGAATGGACCTAAAATAGATCCTTATGGAACACCACAATATATTGGTTGTCCTGATGATATAATTCCATTAATTCTTACTGATTGGCTTATTGTATCTAAATAACTACTAAACCAAAAGGTGTCAGTTTTATGATTTACTAATTTCAGGTTGAATTTATGTTTGACACTGTCAAAAGCTTTAGAAAGGTCGCACAATATGAGCAAATTTACTTGATTTTTGTATGTTCTAAATTTCATCAGTAATCTGTAGTAGAGATGTTTAAGTAGATAACTTATTCCTAAAACCATGTGCTTTAGATAACAGGTTATTGGGCTCCAGGAAATTTGTCAATTGATTTACTATTTTTCTCTTTTTTTAAGAATTTTGACTATTATAGGGTATATGGTAATAGGGCGATAGTTATTCATATCGTTTATATCCTCTAACGATAATTGGTGTGACTATACCATGTTTCCAAAGCGACGGAAAGACACCAGTGACGAGAGGTGTTATTAATGATCGTCGAATAATGTGCAGATGCGGATAGCCTTTATCTAATGAAACTCAAAGCAATACCGTTTGCTCCCACATTTGTTTCGCTAGCGTGTTTTATTACTAGGATTGATACTTTCTACGTCCACTGCTTGTGGTCTGAAAACATCAGTTGTGAGCCTTGCCCGATCTATGGTTTGCTGTAATGTAGATGTAGTTGTTTGTTAGAAGTAGTTAGTTTTACAATTGTTGAAAAGAAGTCGTTAAATTGCTAAGTGCTTTGTGAAGGATCTGCCAATCACTCGCATGGTGTTTGTTAAGCACTAGTGTTTTGATAAAGTGTCCATATTTTTTCAGGGTTGCTTATATATTCTTTCAATTTATTTCTGAAATGATTCCTCTATGTACATGGAATTAGCCATTTAACCATTTTCATTTTTACTTTATAATCT